AACCAAGTCCATCCAAAGCAAAATGGTTCACAAATTATTTTCTCTTCTTTCTTGCTTTCTAACCATTCAAACTACTTAAAACTTGCTGTGTATTTCTAGCACAATGCTGTTGACTTCAGCTACAATTCAGTGACCACAAATTTAAACCATTAGAAAAATTGTGGGGAATAGTTTGGGTGGCCTTGGTTGATGTAGATGCACTGTAATTACTTTAACAATGATTCAGTATAATATTAATTCTAAAGGCAGTATCCTAATGATGCCTGGACATTAATTGTTGTTCTAGTTAAACAGTATATCAATGTAGTAGTAATTGAAGTGAGCTAAATTGTTAGGATTTTATGCTAATGCATGGCAGAATACATGTATATTTCAGGTCTGTCTTGAAATCCATGAGCTGAATGATGATGTGGTGTGTGTCAATGGTGGCAGATGTGGTGTCAAGGACTGTGGTTATATTGGAATTGTCCAAGGCAAAATGTCTTGTCTATCATGTGCATACAACAAGCATAATTGTGTGCACTTGAAAACTATTGAGGATGCCATTTCAACATCTATCCAAAATGTACCACCATCTGTCCTGAGTATGATTGACAAATCAAAAGAAGATCAGAATTCACAAAAGTGAAGTGCTTCTGGACCTTTGGTTTACTCTAGTAAGCCTATAGCTTTTGTTATCCCGGTCTCCATGCAATTGCTGTTTCAGACTGGACTTTTACAGCTATGTTTTGTTCCACCATCTTCATATGTTATGATCCCACCAGTCGTTCCTGGCCAAGTTAGCAGCTTGCAACTATAGCGCTCACGACTTACTCTTCCATGTGGGATAAAAATGGACATGTCATTTGCATGGGTAATAGCATGAGCATGCTCATTTGATGTTGATTCAAGGTAATAACCATGAATATTTTGAATGTTAATGCTATGACAACACCAAATTCTTCAATTTCATAAAACATTTTACGACTACTAACGTAACACCCAACTAGTTCCTGACAAATTCAATATCCTCTTGGGCTTTAAGTTTCTTTGTTTGAATTTTATTGTAAATTTGAATGTTGGGAAACATACCTCAATGATTGAGTTTGAGAATAAGTCGTTCATTACTCGGGGTTCCTGTGGAACCGCCAAGTTTAGGTTTCGGCCTTCTTTGTCGCATTTGGTACACAAATTGTCTCGGCCAAATTAGAATGCACTGGGTACGAATCACGTGACATTCACAACTTCCATGTGCTATCTTATGGTGTCGTCGAGGTGTCGTCTTTATACGAGATGGAAGACATGAATTCAACTTCAAACACGCTCAAATCTCTTACAAATCCACACACCATTCGCCGTATAGCCACACTAAAAGATGTCGAGCGTTTTTCGAAAGGGCATTTTGAGAGATACCGCGAATTTATCTTGAAATTTATCGTGAAACTTATCGTGAAATTCGAACCAATCTTATCAAAAGCGAACTCTATACTAACTGATTCTACAGGCTCTGAAAATACAAAGGACTTCTCTAAGGAATGCGAACAGAATTCACTGAGGAAAAACCGACGATTGCAACTATTTTATTTAGCANGGGGGTATTTTAAGGTATGGGGGTATTTTAAGGTATGGGGGTATATTTTAAGGTATGGGGGTATTTTAAGGTATGGGGGTATATTTGAAGGTATGGGGTATATTTGTAGGTATGCCGGGTATATTTGTGGGTATAAGGTATATAGCAGGTATAGGATATATTTGTGGTATAGAGGCACGTGACTAGGCAATATAGATTATTTAAAGCAACCTAGCTTGTTCCGATCATTGATCAATTTATTCACCATGATGTCATCAATTCAAGTGGATGAGGTTGAGATGTTAGAAAAGTCATTTCTCCAAGAATTGATATCAACAATCTTGCAACTTTCGTATGCATTTCATTGTGAAGTTAAGATTTGGGAAATAATTAATTCTACTTGCGAAGGATGCGACCTGAATCTTCCAAGTCAAGATGATCACCAGTGTTTGATGACGGAAAATGAGAATGCTTGGAGCCTTTACTATGATGAGGCTATGCAGTCCGTGGACTCTAATCGAGTGTGGGATCTGGCCACCCTTGTGTGTAAGATGCTCGAGTTTGATATTCATCCTTCATGGGAATATTACATCTCAGAATTCTACAAGCTACCATGGACAACGGTCTACTTGTACACATTGCAGTTTGAACTTTCTTCTGATCGTACGACTTCGCCTCTTAAACAAATCCTTCAAGTTTTGGTCAAAGGTCCACTTAACATTAACTGCAAGAGAAAAACTATTTTGAATGCCTCCAAGATGTCATTCCCAGAAGAAGAATTACAACTCAAAGAAGAAGAGCCTATAAACATTGATTGTTGTTAATTGTAAACTGCACATAATTAATTTAATAAAACAAGGATGATCAATCAACGCATTCATTCATATAGCATTTTCGAAACTTTGATTGAAGTGTTAGTATAAATCCGTAGAAAGGCGCTTTAATCGCCTTAGCTCGGAGGCGTTTGAATAAGGATCAAAGGATTTCTGAGAAGCGTTATCTAAATAATTTTTTATCGCGAATCTTGCCTTTCTACATGAATGATTTTAAACAGATTTATAACTATAGTAAGATAGAAATATTAGAAGAATGCTGACAAGAAAATGGCGTGTTATAAACATATTTATAACAAGCGCATAGCTTTATGTTAAGGTTCAACGATCGTATAAATTATTATCTGGACACTATCAAGAGAAAAGGTTAATGATTGCCTTTGTTTTGAGACAATAGGTCAACTGCTCAAGGAGTTTGAATAACCAAAGTAATGTTTTTTAACCTTTTTTTTATATTTCTAACTACTGGTATCTATATTTCACTTGTTTCATACTGTTTTAAAAGGAATATATTACTTTGAAAACTTCCGATGGTCCGTCAAGGCCCGGAAAGGTCCGAGGCTCTCCGGATGGCRCGYAAATGACCCGAAGCGCCCCCTGGAAGACTCCGGAAATCTTTCAGAATAATCCCATTTCTGACGCAAACCATTGCTGTAAAACATTTTATTCCATAAACTAAAAGTTAAGGCGTTACATATAATATATTTCTTAAAAACATGAATGGATCATTGTGGACCTATTTGTGATTATTATTAATATATCATAGTTTGAAACAAATCCAACAGAGAATCTTGTGACTTGTGATGCACTATGTTACACCATGTGCTGTAGCTAATAGTATGGAAGGTTTTAACTTCGTAAAAGCTTTTCAAAACGTACCATATTAGAAACTTGATAGTTCTTCCATTGGCGTCTGAAAATGGATGGACGCCAAGGAAAGCTAGGACAAATTCGGCAAGTGCCTCTAAAACCTGGCAGCAATACATGGTTTTATAATTAAAACGATCCACTATAACTTGCATTNTCGGTGCCCTCAACTAATTTGCATATATCTCCCCCAAAACACGATATTCAGCCAAACTAACTACACAGCGTTTATAGGGACACTCTACCCTATCAATAGTATAAGTATGAGCGAAATCGATTTTTCAAGGTTTGCCACTTATTTTCGAAAATGTTTGATGATTACGGACATCCACTCTTAATGATTAACCTAGATAATAAGAAACTGCCAACTAGCAAGGGATTTGTGTTTGTATCTATAAACAGCAGATTCATATCTTGTATAGCATAGTTATGTAAACCACGAGTTGTAAACTAATTCAGGTAGTGTTTGAACGCCGTTGAATTAAAGGGCAACTGAACCCCCAAATTGACCCATTTTGGGAAAAAAGTACATCAAATGGCGGAACCAAAAAACTACTTTTTGGTACCTGAAGAGCTTTTTCGATATCGAAATTTGACATTTGAAATACCCGCCATCGCCTCTCTGCTGCCCGCCATCTTGTGAGCCTGCAAAATGTCAGCGGCTTTTCGTGTGACGTCATACCGTGAAGCTCAACTGAGCAGTATTGGTGTTTTATATATTGTTTACGACGTGTGATCGAAGTTCTCTATAATATTCTGCATTTTCTTCTTGAAATGGTACACTGCTGTGTGCCTGAATGTACTAATCATTCAAGTAAAACTACGTCTGTCAGCTACCACAAAATTCCGATGGATGTAAAGTTAAGAAAAGCGTGGCTTGAGCGTCTAAGAAGAGACAACCTACCCACAGTTGAAAACTGCTACGTTTGTAGCGATTATTGTGATAAAACCTGCTTCAAATTGGACTTCAGGGAAGAATTAACTGGGGAAAGAGGCAAAAGGAGACTAAATGCTAACGCTGTGCCCAGCATTTTCGCCTTTAATTCGTCGAACAGGCCGCGCCAAAAAAAACGCAGTGCAACCGAAGATCGAACACTTCGAAAACAGGTGAGAGTTGCATTTTAAATTCGATACTGAAATCCAAAAGACAGTAAACTATTTGATACTGATTTCGAGATATATAAGCACATATACGAGTCCTTTCTAGCAGTTTGCTCTTGGAGATTCCTATCATTTTAATCGCTAGAAAAACTATTGTCAGTTGTCAAAATATTAAATTTTGCGACATTCGATCAATTAAGTGTTAAATGTTCTTACTATAAAAGCAAAATTAGCTCTGGAACATTTGATTTGTATTTATTTATTTATGTTGCCAATTTTTGCCTACAGACGTTAGAAGAGCTCCTAAAAGAACCAACCCCAACACTTGAAGCAGAAGCAAGTACAATCAGTGATGATCTGACCGATACGTCTTATGACTTGAGCATACACGAATCTACAAGTAGAGATTTCTCTGCCCAGTGCTGCCTTGAATCAGTGCCTTTTGTGATTACAAAAAATGCTTCAACACAAACAGACACACTTAACTCTTGCATAGAAGATCAAGTCAGGAATTACCCAAGTAACTACTTAACTGAAATTGCAGGACATATTGATGCATCATTGATTAAGCATGAACATCCATATGCAAAAACTGAAACCACACAAGAAAAAAAACTTGTTCCCTGAACCAGTCTCAATGAATGAAGATAGCAATGGCCCTTTATATGTAGATGAAGAAGGGATTTATAGTGAAGATGAAACAGAATTTCATGGTATTC